ACCATATGACAGGATGCTCTCAATCATCCCTCTATAGAAAGTGGTAAGGGCAGGGAAAGGAAGATGTGCTTTTCTCATGCAATGCAGAAAATGCAGGCGCTGCTGTGCCCGCTTCACTAGTGTCTCGCTGTTGAACAAACAAGCTAGTCTAGCCTTGATTGGACAACAATTTGTCTAGAGCAGTATAAGGCAGGGGTCTTCAAACATGGCCCTTTTATGACTTGTGGACTTCAACTCCCAGAATTCCTCAGCCAGCCTGCCTGTCCACAAGTCATAAAAGGGCCAAGTTTGAAGACCCCTGGTATAAGGGGTGTTCAAGCAGGAGATTAGAAGATCCCCGAGGTCCCTTCCAACCCTGTTATTCTATGTTCTGTGATCTTGCTTACAGCTTATAACACCTGGTTATAATTTTATTAAAGGCTAAGGAAACCTGGTTGCAAAATTCAGGTCAAACAGTGAACCGGCCGTGCTGCAATTTAATACTTGTCCAGATTTGTGCAGCTCGTATCCGCTCGGGCTATTTGCTTTTGAATCTTTCCCTTATTACCAAGTCATTCTCATGAGAAGCGCCCGAAGCCACCTTCGTAGAGAGTCTCCGAAGCAACAGCGGCTGGGTGCGCATAACACCCGGGGACTTGAAGTTCCTCTGGGGCGCCTTAAAACCAGCGAATTAAACTACAATTCCCATGAGCCTCTCACCCTAATCGATTTGAAGGAGGCGGGACCTTCAAGTCGCGGGGTTTCCAAGGGAATTTACCAGATGCTGGTGGAGCGATGACGCAGCTCTGCTTTCTTGCCCATCCTGTCGAATGATGAGGCGGTTTCATGCTAAGGCTGCCTAGGAGACGTGCCGCTGCGAGCAGGGCGGGGAAGAACAGCAATGGGCTGGGGAGAAGTTGAGGAGGAGGTGGGAGTACGACTCACTCGCCTTCTGGTGCAGTCGCTTGCTTGCCTGCCTGCCTGCCTGCCTGCCTGCTTGCCTCCCTCCTCCTTTTCAGGATTCCTGGTTCATAGCCGTTGCTCCTGCTCTTGACAGGTGACTGTCAAATCACGGTCTGTGGGGTGGTTGCTCGGGGAAAACCCGCCTCGGCTTGATAATGTTAACAATAGTGGCAGGGATAATTAATCTGCCATGTTATTATCGGCATCAGTGTTGCTTTGCAGAGCAATTGTACAAAATTGCTTGAAAACCTTTCCCCTATTCTGTGGAAAGGCTCTATAATTTTAAACGCAATTCTAGTTTATCCCGAACTAAACCGTTGTACAGGGAGAGAAGTGGCCGTACCCAGGGAGCTAATATGGTGAGTCAGGAGGGGACAGCAAATCACCAGAAATAAGAATTTGTTATCACTATTTTTATTGCTAGGGAGATGGAGAGATACTACCTCCTTGACAGCCAAGGGTGATGTGGACAGTGATGGGGGAAGGGTATTATTTGCTTTGCTATTCTGCATATGGTTGGAAAAGGGTTAGTCCCAAGTCCCTCTCAGTTTAGTGAATCTTACTCTCAAGCAAATATATAATGGGGAGGGAAACGGAGCATACATATACAAAAACCTGGTATGGTATGGAGGAATTTGACAGACATTTTCTCTCCTTTTCATAATATCTGACATAGACCAACTCTATACAACAAGACTAGAGAAAATCCCCCTTCATACCATATTTAGTTTGTGAAACTGAAAAAAAATAGATTATGGCCACTAGCTCAGACAGCTTTCAGAGAAGATTATTCTTCTCCATAATGTTTTTTTTTAAATCAGACCAGATACTAGAGAGCTACAGCTGGGAAGATCTATTTGCCTTCCTGCTCTACTTCTGGGCTTCCTGGAAAGCATGAAGCCAATAGCCTGTGGGTTTCTGTTAGACATCACATAAAGAAAAAAATGGGTTTTAAACAAGGATAAGTATGGAACAATCTTTATTTGTGGGTATTCCAGTTTCACAGATGCTTAAGTTGTGCCTTTTATTCAATTTTAGTGGGCAAGCAGTTGATTCAGGAATTGACAAAGACTGGAAAAAAACCCACCTCTTTTTTACAAATGGAATTTATGCTCAAAATCTAGGAGTCTTACCCTTTAGACAGGGATAAATGTTAGAATATAGTCAGACTAAACCATTTCACATTAAATTCACCCAATATTTATCGATTCCTCTCAAGCTTCAATTATAGTATTACTGTCCTCAAACTATGGCAATAATGTGTACCATAGAGAGACCTTTAAAATGTTTAGAGTATTTCACTTGCATTAGTTCATCAAATTTCTTTCATCAATCTTGTAAAGATATTCAGTGCTGTTTTTCCTGCATAATAGGTTGATGTAGATGAAGCTGTGAAGGGGCATTGCTCTCCTAAGGCCATTGGATAATTTCATGATTAAAATTATATTTGAATGGAAGACTTTGTTTGGCAAATAATTTTCTTCTAAACCATTCTATCTAGACCTTCATCCTATTCATAAAACAAAACCCATTAATCCAAATTGATTTATTTAGTATAGGATTGTGTTGACTATCAATAATAAAGAGAAAAGCCTCTGAGCGAATGCAGACTATCTGCTTATTATCACTGTATTTTCGTGTTGCAATTTGTCTCACTTTTCTACCTGGAAAGATTTCAAGCAGTAAAAGGGAAGACTGCCAAAGCACTTTAAGCAATAAAAATTTGAATTGCAGTATTGAAGAGTTGAGTTTATCTCCATCCTATAACAATTGATTACAATCTAAAGAGGAATCCTATACTGTATTTTATCTTGTGGGGGATACCAATGGGAGCCCACGTATCTGAGTTTAATTATGCATTGTTGTAGTTTACTTTGCAATTATCAGAACATAAAATATATCATTGAACTATATGGCAGTTTTCTGAAATGTATATTGAGTCTGTAAATCAGTCCAACAACATTTGTACACATTCTTGTTGAACTCATTAGAACTTACCCCAACATTTATAAGTTGCAATCTGAGTCAAAAAGTATCCCAATTTTCATCCTTTGTATAAAGATGCATCTTACATCTGTTTGACTCATGGCACTTATATCATTGCATTAAGATATATAAAACAATCAAAAGTAGTTAAAAGACTTAAGATCTGTGAGAAATTAATAACTTTCACTCTGGGACTGATATCTATTCACAGCCATACTTCATCTGCTACTGCAAAATAAGAGTCTTGGCATTGAGGCAACCTGTTTTTGATATGTTGCCAGAGTATAACATCACTACTATTCCTCAGAAACTCCCAAAGGGATTGTTAGTTTCACTGTGAAATTCAATCAGATTACCTTGACTTCCCTCTAAAAGCAGGAAGTTATTAAGCTCTTTTTTTCCCTTTGTGGCTAAAAAAATATATTTAAGAGTAGGTTCTCTTCCAACTGCCTATTTTTCTGGTATGTCTGTCCAATATTAAATAACTGATCCTGTATTTCTCAGATTTTGGGACTCAAGTTTCTTCTCTATGGGTGTTTAATTGATTGCTTCTTTGCTTGTACAATTTATATCTAATGTCTCTGTTAAAAATGTTTAATGTTCATTACAAATCATTACTTAAAAGTTATATATTAAAATGAACAAAGTCTTTTCTTACTTCAAAAGAAAAGTAGGATTCAGCTCCCCACACTGGGCTCTCCCTTTTATTACTTTTTTTTTTACCTTTGCACTGGAATAGAGAACCAGAAGTGCAGAAAGCAGTAGTAATGCAGCTGGGGAAAATTTATAATAGGCAGTGCATCTTACAGAGATGCCCATGCAGAATTGTGTATGTGGTCCTGGATTCCCCCTTCCCCATCCCAATATTCTTCTATTTTTGTTCTTTGATGCAAATAATGAGTTTGTGAGGTATAATTTTATTGGTAGAGTGGATGTACAGTAAAATGAGGACAGAGAAAAAAATTACCTCCTGTTGTGAAGAGAACGGGAAAAGCAAAATAATATATTGCTTTGATTTATAATGCATAGCCTTGCAAAGGTTAATATATTACTTTTATTTGAAAGGTAACCATTTCATTGCTTTTAAATCATTCTTTAATGTTTCCTATTATTATATTTATTTATTTATTTTTATATATTTATTTTGTACAATTCAAGGCATTGTTTCTGCCTCCTATTTTCTCCATAACAACAGCCCTGTAAGGTGCATTGGTCTGAGGAAAACTCAGTGGCTCAAAGTCTCCCAGTCAGCTTTCATGCCTATGATTGATTGATTATGTGCCATCAAGTTATTTTCAACTCCTAGCGACCAATAAATCTTCTTCAATTTCATGCCTAAGGGAAGACTAAAACTCACAGTTCCCAGTTTCTAATCTAGCATTTCAACCATTACACCAAATTAGCTCAAACTGTTAGCTTTCAGATTACAGTATTTTTTAAATAGCAAATTATAAGACAAATGTATCTAGATATTGTATATATATATATATATAAACATCTTTCTTTTTCCTTCCAGAAATATCTTGTCTTTACACTGAGTTGCAAATCTGTAGAAGACTACTTTCTTCATTACCCAGTCACAGAATGTGCTGAGATATTTTTTTTAAAGAGCTATTTTTCATAACAGCTGCACATTTCCCGCAGTTAAGAACTATAACCATGTTTGAAAGGCAGTGACTTACTCTATTCAAGAGACTTAAAAAACATAATGAGATCCACAGCACCAGTGTTTTGCACTTGATGCAGAGAGGCTCATGCCTTCCGCCTTCCGTTGTATTTGACTTAGAATTTGCCTCAATGCGTGTGCTCCCCCCTCCAAGTTATCTGGGTTGCAAAACTGGGAAAGCAGCAACGGCTGCTCATCATTGGCAGTAGAAGATTATGGTGGCGGCTCAGCACTAGGAATCCAGCAGCAGCAGAGCAGGACTCTGGATGCATTTTCACTAAAAATCCTTAGCATCAGGAAGGGCAGCTGAATGATTTGGCAGCTGAGCAAAAACTGAGATCATTTGTAACAAGGAAACAGGAAAAGCAAGAACGTGGGGCTGGGGGCAATAGTTCCAGGTTTTTTTTTTCTCTGCTTCTAGGGAGGGGGGTTGATTATCATGGCAGATCGGACAGCTCCTAGATGCCAGCTCCATCTGGAGTGGGTATATGGGTATAGGGGTCATCAGTGTCGCAACAACCTGTACTACACAGCAGGCAAAGAAGTGGTTTACTTTGTGGCTGGAGTCGGCGTGGTTTATAACACCAGAGAGCATATACAGAAATTTTTCTTGGGACACAATGATGACATTATCAGGTAAGAAACGGGTGCAATGAGGAGGGAATGTTTGATTGAACAGCTATCCCCAACTTTACATGACTTAGCATACCTCTTGCATTTAAAAAAAATGAATATGTCAAAATATGTATACAGGAGTGCTGAATGCACTTGGGTCCTACTTAGTTTTTTATTTATTTATATTTACGACCCAAGATTTTGAAAGAAATTATATCCTAAATCTCAGATCTGGAGCTCATTCTTTGAAAAACTAAGGCAGTTTTTCAGATAGCTCATTATTATCTTCATTATCACCCCAATTATAATAGCTAAAACCTAAATAGGGTATATGCATGGAAGATGTAGGTTACATATGATATACAGTACCTATAATGTCTGGTATTCCAATAAAAGCAGTTTTTACTCTGATCCTATAATTTCAGTATATGATTATGTTTACTACAAAATACCAGTTGTTCTCAGCTATATGCTATATGTTCAGGATTCTGATATCAGTTGCATTTTGAAGGGGAGAGGAACTTATAATGCGATGCTATACATATTGACTGAGAAGTAAATCCTATTGAATTCAGTGAAATTTATTTCCAAGAATGTGGCTACAGTATTATAGCCACAATATCAGACAACAGGAGCATAACATACCTGTTTTTTTAAAAAAAGAAACATACAAAAATTAATTTTCCAGATTACCTGTTTTTTGTCTAAAACAACAATCTTTATGATACTTTTCATTTATTTTGAAATAGAAATTAATCTGAAACTGGCTGCTATGTTTTATAAAAGTAATGTCAAAAAACTCTACTTTTTATTTAGGAAAATTGTTCAGTTGTGCCTTCTTGACTGTAAGTTTTATATTGATTCCTATCCACCAGAAATAGTTCTTTTACTTTAATTTGTTGATTAAAATTAATATCCTGCCTTCAATATCTGTATACTACAGGCCTCTCTGAAAATCTATCATATAATATTTAATTTATATAAACATGTATATGACATGATTTTATTTGCAACATACATTTTTTCCTTAATATGTTTAATCTAGCTTTGGTGAAATATAACTTCAAATGCTGGAAATCTTATTGGGGAAAATAATACTTTCTGTACATTTCTTCTAACCAGGGGGTAATATTTATGTTGTAGTTAAAAATAGTTTCACCCAACTTTGTATGTCATGTTTCTTTATTATTTGTAATTCAATCCTCAGGATATTTACTTGGATGTAGGTGCTGTTGAAATCTTTGAGATATATTTTCAGTTAAGCCAGATCAGGTTTGATTTTTTGTCAGCCAAAAAATGGGATCTAATGTTTAATTGCAATTACTCTAAATTAGTTTATTCTTAACTAATTATTGTGCCTTACTAAAAGGGAATTGATAGTGCACAAACCTGAAGTTACTGCTACTACTTCTGTAATAATACATCATGGCTTTTCATGTTGGTGAAAGAAAAACATTAGTACATTTTAACTCCTCTTTCTGGCACAGTGCATAATTGAACTTATATTTGACGGTTGGATTATTGCTCCCCCCCCCATAATCACATGATTGCATTTTGGGCGCTTGGTAACCGGCCAACACTTAACACTTTATTTGCAGTGTCCTTTGACCATGATTTATGACATTTTTGCTGGATTTATGACATTTTACTTACAGTTTCCAGCAAAAATCACTCTTCCTTAATAATGGGTTCGCTTAATGATGGCTGTGTTCGCTTAACTACCATGTAATTGCAAGCTCAATTACAGAATAGGTTGAGGACTACGTGTAGGGGCTTTTCAAAAATAAAGATTTAAATGTGCCTTTGTCTGCTCCCTGTTCAGGTATTAAGCTCCATGTGATTAAAATTATATAGAAGCAAAGTATAGTCTATGCATGTTTAGCTAGCTTTCTATCATGTACACGTGCATTCAGGAAGTATTCAGACCCCGTTCAATTTTGTCAATTTTGTTATGCTGCAGCCTGATTCTACAGTTGTTGAAATTCATTTTTTTTCTCATTAATCTACATTCAGTACCCCATAATGATAAAGTGAAAACAGAATTTTAGAAATGTCTATAAATTTATTAAAAAGAAAAAAACTGAAATAGCTGGGAATAGTGATCACATATCCCTAGATCACATTGTAAATACCTGCTGCTTGGCAAGCACCCAAATTTTGATCACATGACTGTGGGGATGCTGCAGTGGTCATAAGTACAAGGACTGGTCGTAAATCACTTTTTTCAGTGATTTATACTAAGAAGGTCCTGTTGTATCTTGAGGACTATCTGTATTCTAATAGTGAATTTATTTTCTGATTGTGGAGAATACAATATATTTCAGACCTGAGCATTTTACAGCCCCTGGCAACATCCAGCCCTTTGCCTGTCCCTGTCCGGCCTGCATGAGGTCAATTGGAAATTAGAAATTAAATGAAAATAAACAGGCCACAAGTGGGCGGGAGAAGAAGATGGGTCAGGTCTGGCTGTGTGCAGTCGCCAAGCGTTCCTTCAGTCAACTGGCAACTGCGGGAGGGTGAGAAGAAAAAACTCTTTCCTGCGCCTGTGTAGCACTCATTCCTTGCCTGGAACAGTCTGAGCAGTTGAGATGATGGAGTTTGAGGATGTCAGATCACGTTACATTGGTTCAACCTCCACAGCCTCCTTCAGTCCCACTTTTTCATGTGGCCCCTTGGGAAAATTAATTGTCCACCTCTGGTCTATTTATATTGTGGAGGTTATATTCATTTTAGTCTTCATGTATCCTCTTTATTATTACTGATTCAAATTGCACATTGAAATAAAAAAAAGCTAGCACTGAAGTGCCAACACAGAATGGAAACCAGACAGCAGAACTTCCTAGAGTGCGAATGGAATGGTATGAAAGGGGGATGTATGCAGATACAATAAATGCTATTATTTATACAATATGTTAGTGTTACGTAGCAGGATAGAATCTTCACAGTGTGAAAGCATGCTAGGACATAATAGTAAAGTCATCCTCAATGTCTAGACGTTCTAGAGTAAGGGGCACACTGGGATTTACAACAACAACAACAACATCATCATCATCATCATCATCATCATCATCATAAAGTTGGAAGGGACCTTGGAGGTCATCTAGTCCAACCCCCTGCTCAGGCAGGAAACCCTATACCATTTCAGACAAATGGCTGTCCAGTCTCTTCTTAAAAACTTCCAGTGTTGGAGCATTCACCGCTTCTGGAGGAAGATTGTTATACTGGTTAATTGTTCTAACTGTCAGGAAGTTTCTCCTTAGTTCTAGGTTGCTTCTCTCCTTGATTAGTTTCTGTCCATTGCTTCTTGTCCTGCCTTCAGGTGCCTTGGAAAATAGCTTGACTCCCTCTTCTTTGTGGCAAAATTCAAATTCAAATTTATTTGATTTATATACCGCCCTTCTCCCTTGCGGGACTCAGGGCGGTGAACAGGCACATTAATAAAACAGCAATACCATAATATTTAAAATATTTAAAACTAATTAAATTATTTGTCCTTTCCTAAAACCCACTATAATAATATAAAATTATACCCAATTTAAAATTGTAGAGTTTCAGATTTATGCCAGACCGGCCTCTTGGAACAGATAGGTCTTTAGGGCTCGGCGGAAGAGGCGTATGTCCCCCATTGTACGGAGGTCAGGGGGCAGCTCATTCCATAGGGTAGGAGCTGCCACAGAGAAGGCTCTCCCCCTGGG